AACATAACAAGCTAGCTAGTAGTGATCATGGCAAAGTAATCAAGCAATCAAACTAGCATTACGCCCTTATACACGCACATCTTAAAAGTCAGCTATTCCACTATAATTCAAACACCCTAATATACCTCATACAGATGGTGGAATCACTGCTAGAGGCCACATCATCAGTCACTGCCACAGATGGAGATAGTGATGCCGCATTCAAAACAACGTCAAATCATGACGTCAGTGATCTTCAGGGCTCTAGAAAGAGGCCAGAGTTCCCGAGTTGGAATTCCGAGTTGGATGATCGTTCGAATCGATTTTTTGTAGCCGGAGCTAGTTTTTTTTCCCCAGAGTTCCCTGTTGTTTTGAACGCATTGAAATCGGAGATTTCCAAGTTCCAAGCTTCCAGTTGTTTTGAACGCGGCATGATGCAGACAAAGAGCTCAGTGACTCTGAGACCTCCCCACCTCCCGCCCCCTCCAACCCTGTTGTTGAAATGGAGTCAGTGCCGGTTGGCTACACAGTCAATTGATACAGGTTGGTAGCTTTGATAATCACATGCATGCATGCTTACAACTACAAACAACAAGCAATGTCAACACAACCCAGCACAAACAAAGATAGCAAGCTGAATAAATAAATGCATTTCACTCACTCAAGTAGCTCACGTGGCCAGCAGCAGAAAAATGCATCCAATCAATAATCCAAAGAAAGTGGAGTAGAAAGTAATCCAATGGGGAGCTAGTCATTATTGGTGCGTTACAAAACAACTGGGAACTCTGGGAAAAAAACGAGGTCAAATCATGACGTCAGTGATCTTAACGTCGGAAAGTCTTGAGCTTTAGAAAGAGGCACGAGTTACCCGACTTGGAATGCTGGCATTTGTGCCCATTCTTCCTTCTCTTCTGACTCACAATCCGACATGATATTCTCGCTGGTCTAGACCTGGCTACTCATAGAATTTTCACAAATGCCTTAGCCGACGTCATTACCAAACGTTCTATGAAAGTATACAAACGTGAAAAACTGCCATATCTAAGTGCTCGCTTGTCAGAAAATGTAAAACAAGGGTGTCATATTCTTCCTGGGGGTGTTTAGGAACAGGTTTTAACATGTTTTCATGTTGCTAAAATGCCTTCAGTTCCACTTTAAGTCATACTGTTACGATCACTATTCTGTCTGTGAAGCCTCAGGCTCTGTTCCTCCCTCCCTACAGCGCTGCTCCTCAGTCTTCTCTGTGTCCTGGTTGGGAATGTGTTGAACAGTCTTCTCTGGTTGGGAATGTGTTGAACAGTCTTCTCTGGTTGGGAATGTTTTGAACAGTCTTCTCTGGTTGGGAATGTGTTGAACAGTCTTCTCTGGTTGGGAATGTGTTGTACATTCTTCTCTGGCTGGGAATGTGTTGAACAGTCTTCTCTGGTTGGGAATGTGTTGAACAGTCTTCTCTTGTTGGGAATGTGTTGAACAGTCTTCTCTTGTTGGGAATGTGTTGAACAGTCTTCTCTTGTTGGGAATGTGTTTAACAGTCTTCTCTGGTTGGGAATGTGTTGAACAGTCGACTTACTATGGATTCTATCCTCCTGATTCCTGCTCACAAGCAAAAACTAAAGCAGGAAGTACCAGTGACTAACTCAATACGGAAGTGGTCAGATGACGCGGATGCTACACTAAAGGACTGTTTTGCACAGACTGGAATATGTTCCGGGATTCATGCAATGGCATTGAGGAGTATACCACCATCAGTCACCGGCTTCATCAATAAGTGCATTGACGACGTCGTCCCTGCAGTGACCATGAATACATATCCCAAACAGAAGCCATGGATTACAGGCAACATCCGCACCGAGCTAAAGGCTAGAGCTGCCGCTTTCAAGGAGCGGGACACCAATCTGGGCGCTTTTAAGAAATCCTGCTATGCCCTCAGACGAACCATCAAACAGGCAAAGCGTCAATACAGGACTAAGATTGAATCCTACTACACCGGCTCCGATGCTCGTCGGATGTGGCAGGGCTTGCAAACTATTACAGACTACAAAGGGAAACCCAGCCGCGAGCTGCCCAGTGACGCAAGCCTACCAGATGAGCTAAAGGCCTTTTATGCTCTCTTCGAGGCAAGCAACACTGAAGCATGCATGAGATCACCAGCTGTTCCGGACGACTGTGTGATTACGCTCTCCGTAGCCGATGTGAGGAAGACCTTTAAACAGGTCAACATTCACAAGGCCGCGGGGCCAGACAGATTACCAGGACGTGTACTCAGAGCATGCGTGGCAAGTGTCTTCACTGACATTTTCAACCTCTCCCTGACAGAGTCTGTAATACCTACATGTTTCAAGCAGACCACCATAGTCCCTGTGCCCAAGAAAGCGAAGGTAACCTGCCTAAATGACTACCGCCCCGTAGCACTCAAGTCGGTAGCCATGAAGTGCTTTGAAAGGCTGGTCATGGCTCACATCAACACCATCATCCCGGAAACCCTAGACCCACTCCAATTTGCATACCACCCCAACAGATCCACAGATGATGCAATCTCAATCGCACTCCACACTGCCCTTTCTCACCTGGACAAAAGGAACACCTATGTGAGAATGCTATTAATTGACTACAGCTCAGCGTTCAACACCATAGTGCCCACAAAGCTAAGGACCCTGGGACTAAACACCTCCCTCTGCAACTGGATCCTGGACTTCCTGACGGGCCGCCCCCAGGTGGTAAGGTTAGGCAACAACACATTTGCCATGCTGATCGTCAACACGGGGGCCCCTCAGGGGTGCATGCTTAGTCCCCTCCTGTACTCCTTGTTCACCCACGACTGTGTGGCCAAGAACGACTCCAACACCATCATTAAGTTTGCCGACGACACAACAGTGGTAGGCCTGATCACCGACAACGATGAGACAGCCTATAGGGAGGAGGTCAGAGACCTGGCAGTGTGGTGCCAGGACAACAACCTCTCCCTCAACGTGAGCAAGACAAAGGAGATGATCGTGGACTACAGGAAAAGGAGGGCCGAACACACCCCCAATTACATTGACGGGGCTGCAGTGGAGCGGTTTGAGAGTTTCAAGTTCCTTGGTGTCCACATCACCAACAAACTATCATGGTCCAAACACACCAAAACAGTCGTGAAGAGGGCACGACAACACCTTTTCCCCCTCAGGAGACTGAAAAGATTTGGCATGGGTCCCCAGATCCTCAAAAAGTTATACAGCTGCTTCATCGAGAGCATACTGACCGGTTGCATCACCGCCTAGTATGGCAACTGCTCTGCATCCGACCGTAAGGCGCTACAGAGGGTAGTGCGTACGGCCCAGTACATCACTGAGACCAAGCTTCCTGCAATCCAGGACCTACAGTATATACTATGCGGTGTCAGAAGAAGGCCCAAAACATTGTCAAAGACTCCAGCCACCCTAGTCATAGACTGTTCTCTCTGCTAACGCACGGCAAGCGGTTCCGGAGTGCCAAGTCTAGGTCCAAAACGCTCCTTAATAGCTTCTACCCCCAAGCCATAAGACTGCTGAACAATTAATCAAATGGCCACCCAGACAATTTACATTGACCACCCCCATTTGTTTTTGCACTGCTGCTACTCACTGTTTATTATCTATGCATAGTCACTTTACCCCTACCTACATGTACAAATTACCTCGACTAACCTGTAGCCCCGCACATTGACTCGGTACCGGTACCCCCTGTATATAGCCTCAGTACTGTTATTTTATTGTGTTACTTTTTATATTATTTTTTACTTTTGTTTATTTAGTAAATATTTTCTTAACTCTATTTCTTGAACTGCAATGTTGGTTAAGGGCTTGTAAGTAAGACATTTCACGGTAAGGTCTACACCTGTTGTATTCGGCACACGTGACAAATAACATTTTGTATTTTATTTTATTTGATCACTACTATGGTCTGTGTTAGTATCAGTGAGGCCTCAGGCTCAGTTCCTCTCCTCCTCTCTTCTCTGTCTGTTAACAAACAGACTGTGTCCTCCGGCACTAAGGGCCACGCTGTGCAGGTGAATATGTGTGTGTGTGTGGTGTGTGTGTGTGTGTGTGTGTGTGTGTGTGTGTGTGTGTGTGTGTGTGTGTGTGTTTGTGCATGCTTCTGTCTGTACACACAGTTTGGTTCAAGGTAGGGTAGCGAACTGTGTTGTGCTACAGGACTGACTCATTTCTTTACAGCTCATCTCATTCCATCTCTCCCCGTCTCCCTATAGCAGTGAGGCTGCATCCCAAATGCCACCCTATTCCCCTATAAGGTGCCATTTGGTATTTGGTATTTTATTAGGATCCCCATTAGCTGTTGCAAAAGCAGCAGCTACTCTTCCTGGGGTCCACACAAAACATGAAACATGACATAATACAGAACATTAATAGACAAGAACAGCTCAAGGACAGAACTACATACATAAAAAAATTAAAAAGGCTCACATATAAATACATACACACAAACTATCTAGGTACCAAGGCTGCGAGTGAAGCTGGGGTCACAACCCTCCCCTGGTACATTCACTGCATCTGTTTGATCAGAGTTCGACTCAAAGCTACATCTCTTCCGTTGACATCTACAGTCCATCTCTCAGAGTGAAGGGGGAATTATGCTTCATTAAGGTTCACTACACAGATAATGGACTCTATGTTACGTCCCAAATGGCACCCTATTCCTTATATAGTTCACTACTTTCGGTCATGGGCCTCTGGTCAAAAGTAGTGCACTATGTAGGGAATAGGGTGCCATTTGGGACGCAGCCTAAAGCTTTGTAAAGCTGTGTCCGGTCCTGTATGGTGCTGTCTCTCCAGTCCGAGGGTACCTGTCTATTTTCCCCTTCCGCTGCTTGGCAGGGTTTTACCTAAAGTACTGTTCTGACGGCCCGCACAATAATGGTTCAAATCCATTAAGCCATTTGAAATGACACATGTCACTTTCAACTACTGTACTAGCTTCTTAAAGAAGTTTGATAAAAACATGACCTAAGTACAGTGTGTGTGTTTTCTCCACCATTTACTCACCATGTACCCGGGGGCACAGATGCAGGCTCCAGTGATGCCATCACAGTCGGCTCCGTTGGCACAACGCACACGGCTCCTTGCACCCCTCGCCATAGTAACCTGACGGACAGGTCTCGTTGCAGAACAGACCCGCCCACCCCGCCGCACACGCACACTCCCCCGACAACGGATGGCAGCTGGGAATGGAGAGGAGAGGAGAGGAGAGGAGAGGAGAGGAGAGGAGAGGAGAGGAGAGGAGAGGAGAGGAGAGGAGAGGAGAGGAGAGGAGAGGAGAGGAGAGGAGAGGAGAGGAGAGAGGAGAGGAGAGGAGAGGAGTAGGAGAGGAGAGGAGAGGAGAGAAGAGGAGGCTCAAGATAGATACAGTCTCTGTCTGCTGATACACTCTTAGAAAAAAAAGGTGATATCTAGAACCTACAAGGTAGAAAGGGTTCTACATGGAACCCAAAAGAGTTTTAACTGGACCAAAAGGGTTCTACCTGGAACCAATAAGGGTTCTTCAAAGGGTTATCCTATAGGGACAGCCGAAGAACCTTTCTTGGTTCCAGTTAAAACCCTTTTGGGTTCCATGTAGAACCCTTTCTACCTGAAACCAAAAAGGGTTCTACCTGGACAGCCGAAGAACCCGTTTGAAACCCTTTGTTCTATGAGTAGTACAGTAGAATAGATACATCTCTCTCAGGTCCTTAGAGACCGTACTGGCTGGCTGCTGAATGTGTAGCAGAGCACCGGAACACCATATGGGCCATTCCTCTTAGTTAGAACAACGTTCAATGGAGACTTCCAACTCGGTTATGTTTATGTTAACACAGCCATCAAAATGATCTACTGGAGAGCAGTTGATTTACTGGTGTTGGGCCATCAGACTACTGTTCTTTCAAGGATACTATTTTCTAAATAGCTTGTTTTTAACACTGCCAACCCACCGCTAAACTCTTTGAGATTCTGTATGTAATGAAAAAGTGCAATAGGATAAAAACTAAATGGATCACAGTGTATTATCATCATCGATCATAGCTCAGCGTGAAGAAATGTTACTTTATCTCAAAACAGCCTTATTTAGGATAGAAAGTACCTGAGCGTGTTTAAGGCGTTGCAGGGGCAGTATTTATCACAGATGAGTCCATACAGTCCAGAGGGACAGAACCTGTCCTGACAGCTAGGACCTTTGAACCCCTCGTCACACAGACAGGCCCCGTTGATATGGTAACACCTCGCTCCGTTCTGACAGTCACACTTATGGGCACACTGAGGACCGTAGGACCCCACCGGACACTCCTCCTTACATCTGGAGAGGGGGGAGGGGGACAGAGACAGAGAGAGAGGGACAGAGAGAGAGAGAGACAGAGAGAGAATGAAACAGAGGGAGAGGGAGAGAGAGAGAAAGCGACAGAGGGAGAGGGAGAGTAGGGGAGAGAGGATTACAGATAGAAGAGAGAACAGAGAGAGAATGAAACAGAGGGAGAGGGAGAGAGAGAGAAAGCGACAGAGGGAGAGGGAGAGAGGGAGAAAGCGACAGAGGGAGAGGGAGAGAGGGAGAAAGCGACAGAGGGAGAGGGAGAGAGGGAGAAGCGACGAGTTAGAGGGAGAGGGAGAGAGGGAAGAGGTGGAGAAGACAAGAGGGGAGAAGGGAGAGATGTGGAAGAGGGAGAGGGAGAGTTCCTTCTGCTTCCCTCTTTCTCCTCTTTCCGTGCTGTTCTCTTTCTCTCTTCTCTATTCTCTATCCTTCTCCTCCCATCCCTTTATAATCATATTATATATACCAGCGATGTTTTTTATTAGACCTTGTCCTTGTTTAGTTTCATTACAACCACCAAACCCTCTATCATTACTCATGAACCATATGTGCCTCTGTTGTCCCACCTCCCTAACCTGACAGGACCTACATGACATTACCAATCCATACATTATCATGACCATATGGCCTCTGTTCCACCTCCCTAACTGACAGGACCTACATACATTACCATCATACATTATCATGACCATCTGGCCTCTGTTCCACCTCCCTAACTGACAGGACCTACATACATTACCATCATACATTATCATGACCATCTGGCCTCTGTTCCACCTCCCTAACTGACAGAACCTACATACATTACCGTCATACATTATCATGACCATATGGCCTCTGTTCCACCTTCCTAACTGACAGGACAACCCAAGCATTAATTGGGAGTCAGTCTGAACTACTGTTCTGTAGTCTGGGGAAATGCATCAGCAAGTGAAATTAGGATGCTGCAGATTGCGCAGAACAAAGCAGCAAGGATCGTTTTAAGGTGGAGATATGGTTCTTCTGTTGTAGTCATGCACAATGCTCTTGGTTGGTCATCAATTAACAAGATAATTGAAAAAAATAACATGCTTATTTTATTTCACAATGTACACCATTTAAAACGGCCAAACTCCATTCACAACAGTATTCAGTTGGTAAGAGACAGACATTCAGTCAATACTAGGAATAGATTGTCAACCATCTATGTGTTATCCAGACAGTGAAGAGAAATAGGCAAAATAACATTTAGATTTACAGCAATAAAGAAATTGAAATATATAAATTCAAACAATACTTTAGAACCATTTAAATATAATTAATCGGAAGGTTGTGCAAGACTATGGTAGATGAAGGAATCAATCTATCTTTTCAGACTGTTACGAGTATTTATCTGGTCAATATGTCAGTGTATTATGTCTGTTTGTAACAGTGTGTTATATGTGAAAATGTGATCGCATTATAAATTGTATTTTAATGTTTAAGGACTCTTGGAAGATTAATCCAAATGAGGACTAAAAGAGATCCTAATAAAATAAAATAAAATAAAATCCACTGTGTCACGACTCCCTCCGAAGCTTCCTCCTCTCCTTGTTCGGGCAGGCTTCGGCGTTCGTCGTCACCGGCCTTCTAGCCGCTGCCGCTCCTCATCTCATCGTTCCATTTGTTTTGTCTTGTTTATTACACACACCTGGTTCATATCCCCTCATCAGTACCTGTATAATTATCCCCTCTGCCCCCCATGTCTTTGTGTGTTATTGTTCCATGTGGAGGTGTCGCTAGCTCGTGTTGAGCATTATGTTACTTTTATCGCCGGGATATTCACCCGTTGGTTTTGTTTTCCCAGTACGCATTTAAGTCGCACTGTATTTGGTTTATGCATTGCTGTGGACTGCTGTATTGGCCAAATAAATTATTTGATTCACACCTCCTGCACCTGGCGCCGTCCTACTCACCACACTACACACTGATTACAGGTTACAACATTACCTTCATTATCTCCACACCAACATGATATACTAGTAATCAGCTGATCCCATTCCAGTCCCAAATGGCATGTTCTCCATACAGCTTCATATATCTGTTACTGTACACCAACGGAGCCACCATTACACCATATACCTCATCACAATACAGACAGACAGACAGACAGACAGACAGACAGATATTCATTAATTCATTCATACATACAGACAATTACACCAGGGTCAACAGGACAGACATTAGACAGAGCCCTGGATGGACGTACCCAAGGTGAATATTCAGCTATTAATTGTACTGAACATAACTCACAGCAGTGATGATGACTCTCTCTGTGCACAGAATAGTAATGATGAGGGGGTGGTGGGAGGAGCTGAACATGAAGTATACCTCCCCAGTATTTCACTTTGTGTATGTCCCAAAAACGACACCATATTCCCTTTATAGTGCACTACTTTTGACCAGGGCCCTAGTGCACTACTTTTGCCTGGTCAAGAGTAGTGCACTACATAGAGAATAGGTTGCCATTTGGGACACAGCCAAAGTTAAATATACAATCCTCTGGCATGATTACAACACGTCTAACACAGCCATTAAAACTGAGACGAATCGCTGAATTAAATAATCTGACTGGTTATATCACAGAGGCTTCCCATGGTCCTCGTCTAGGAACACATTGGAATAGAGGGAGGGAGGGAGGGAGGGAGGGAGGGGATGGAGGGAGGGAGGGAGGGAGGGAGAGAGAGAGAGAGAAGTCAATCTGAAATGATTCCTCGCAGGCTAATACACCTGTCTGTGGTCTAAAGAATGGTGGTAATTTGGCCAGAAGTAATATAAAGAGAGAGAGAGTGTGGGGAGAGAAGGAAAGAAGGGAGAAAGAGAGAGCGTGAGTATGTGTGTATCCGTGGTGTGTGTGTGTGTGTGTGTGTGTGTGTGTGTGTGTGTGTGTGTGTGTGTGTGTGTGTGAGAGAGACAGGTTGGAGGAGAGGTATTCCTCTGGACAATGTGTCTAGCAGAGATAATACATCCGTCTGCCACAGAGAGAGAGGATGAAGAGAGAAGAAGAGAAAAGGAGAGAGAGAGAGAGAGATGGGGAGAGAGGGGAAGATGAGAGAGGGTTTTGAGAGGAGAGATAGAGGTGAGAGGAATGAGAAAGGAGCGAGCGACGAGGAGGGCTGGGGCGGGACGGGGGTTTGGGAAAGGAGAGAGAGAGAGAGAGAGAGAGAGAGAAAGAAAACAGCCCAGAGAGAGAGAGGGAGAGAGAGAGTGGGGGAGAGAACAGAGAGTGAGAGAGGGGGAGAAAAGAGAGAAAGAGAGAGAGAGAGAGAGAAAGAGAGAGGGGACGATAGAAGAGAGGAGAGAAAAGGAGAGAGAAGAAGAGAGGGATAGAGAAAAGTGAGGAACAGAGTAGAGAAGAGAAAAAAAGATTAATAAACAGAATATAAAAAACCCTCCACTTTTTTTAAAAAGGGAGGGGGAAAAAGGGGTTTTTTTATTTAGGGCCCGTTTTCCGTTTTTCATGCTAACTGAGCCCCTGATTTTTTTCGTTTTTTGTTTTTAGAATGAGATAAACACTCGAATCTAAAAAGAATTCAAGGCAAGAAGTGATGAACAACAACTCTATTAAATTTCAGAATAGAAAAAAAAGTAACTTTGCGCTCAAATTAAGAAGTTTTGACTCTCGCTAGCTAGCTACACAACCAAAACCTAGCCAGCAGGCTAACAAAGCCAGCCAAAAATTTGAGCAAAGGACAAACCTAGCAAGGGGAATTAATACAACTAAAATCAAACGACCAAACTGAGTGAGTAAATCAAAAAGAAACACAGACTCAATTTTAAAAACAACTTCTGTCTTTGTGTGTGAAGATCTTTCCCACTCTTTTTGCTGGTTTTTGAGCTAAACAGGAGCTAGTTTAGCAACAGCAGAAGACAAACAAAAACTGGTTGCCATAGCAACGGCGCAGCAAAAACAGAGCAGCGGGCAGCAAGCCCACAGGCACCATGTCCCCACTCCCCTCGCGCTGAGTCCATTCTCTATCCTCCAGAGGCCAAAAATGACCAAAAAGGGAAAAGGTTTAAAAAAACAGATCTACTAAAGGGGGGGGCCAAAAAACCCTTTTCCCCAAATTTCGAACCAAAAAAAATTGGGGGCCCCAAAAGGGAAAAATTAACGTTTTAAAGAAAAAAAAAAAAAGAAGCGTAAAGTTAAAGGGAAGAGATGCTTAATACCAAAAGAATTAAATAGAAGAGTATTTAAAAAATAACAAAAAATCCAAATATAAACCCCCCCCCCCCTCCACCCCTCCCTCCCTTTTTCCCCTTTCCTCCGGCCCCCCTTCCTCCTTTTTTTCCTTTCTTCTCCTTTTTACCCTATGGAAAGGGGGCTCCCCCAAAACAAAAAAGTCCCCCTTTCCCTTTAACTTTCGGGCGCCCCCCCTGTGTTTTTTGGGGTTTTTCTTTTTCCCGCCCTTCCTCACCGGCCCCGGGGCCCCTTAAATGGGCGGCCCCCCGGGGGGCTAGGGGCCCTACCTTTCGCAACCGTCCAAGCGTTTTCCCTTTAATTTTAATTTGTCCAACCCCGCCCGGGGGCTTCCCCAAGCCGCCAAGGGTATTTGGGGGCCCTTTGGTTTTTTGTTTCCCCCCCAAAACCTCCTAACCCCCCCCTCCCCCTTTTTTCAATGGGGGAAAAATTTGGGGCCCCCTTAATGAAAAAAGGGGGCAAAGGGGGGAAAAATAAAAAATAAGGGGACCAAATGAGGGGGGAGGTTTCAAAAAAAAGCCACAGACTCTAACTTTAAACCAATTTTCCCTGTTTTTGGTTGTGAAGATCTTCCCCCCCTTTTTTTTCGGGTTTTTTTTTGGGAGCAAAAAAGGGAGTTTGGGCTAGAAACAGCAAACAACAAAAAAAACGGGGTTGCCATACCCAACGGGGCCGCAAAACAGAGAAACGGGCACAACCCACAGGCCC